TCCTCACCAGCAATCAAGCAAGCTGGGACAGGAGAGCAAAGTACAGGTCAGAACTTCCTGGTGCCAGCAGGTCTGAGCCTTTTCAAAGTCACAGTACTCCTGTTTTAAACAGCTGTGGAAATTAGGATGTGTTTTGAATTAAAAATGAATTGGATTGCTTAAATGAAAAAAAAAAAAAAAGTAACTGTCTCCACTGAAGCGTGGAAGGGAGGTGGCAGGCATTTTAGCAACCTTTACGCAGAGATTTATTGAGGGCAGTGATGGAGGAAAACAATGTGAGACTGGATCTGTAAGAACCAGGCACCGGGCTGGCTTCACAGTCAAAGGTCTGCCTTTCTGAATTTCACACAGCTCCCTGGGAAATTAAATTGAACACATTAAAAAAAAAACCAAAACCAAACCAAACCAAACCCAACTAAACAAAAAACAACAACAACAACAACAACAAGAAAAAACCCACCAAAAACCAAACCAAACACCATCTTCAACAGAGCTTGAAATTAAGTTTGTGCGAGAGCCTCTGGATTGTCCCAAGGGAGGGGACTTTCCCTCCCTCCAACTGCAGTTTCACCTCCAATCGGCCTGAACATGATGAGAGACTGAGACAAGTGCCTCACTCTGTTTGGTAAGATTCATTCTTCCTTGATCTTTTTCTCTCCCTTTCTCCTCCATGCCCTGTCTTCTGCGGGCTGAACTGGATCCCTGTTGAAAGCGCAGCAAAGTGACTTTAGGAGGCTCTGCCTTGAAAATGCAGGGCCTGAGTAAGGGAGGATCAGCTGGTGTAACAGAGTGGTTGATACCAGGCTGGGCGCTCATACAGTGCTCTCTCAACCCCCAGGGTTTCCATTAAGTCAAGAGGAAGGTAGCATTACTCCTACAGATGGATGCTTTTCAGCCAAACAGAGCTGTCCCTCATTTTTAGGGAGTGAGGTTGTTTTAAATAATGACACTGTGTTTTCTAGTGAAGTGGATGTTTCAAATACTTTGGCCAAGCAGTTCTTTCTCAGCCTTTTGCAGGATCTTGATTTGTAAACTTCACATTGTTTTTCTAGCAACACCTTTGTGAATGTGATTTTTTTATTACACAGGTATGAATTTGGCTTGTTCTCTGATATACTAAATTTTCAGCAAGGCTTCCTCAGAAGAGTTTTAAAACTGCTTCAATGTTTCTGAGAGGTGGATGCCCTGCTGTTAAAAAACCTGGATAGCTGATGTCATGTACCTTGGACCAGTGATAGAGTAAATTAATGAGTGCTTCAGAAACAGGACCTGGATATCCAAGCTTCTTCCAGGCTTGTGGAATAGCCAACAGTGGGCTCCTGTCAAACTGACATTTCGCTAATACAGCTTGCAGCACCCTTCCCCTTGGGATGGAGAACTGACTGCCTGGCCTATATTTTGACCACCACTCACTTCTGAGTCATGGTCAGAGCCTTTAGAGAGCAATCTCAGTAGGGATGGGCAACATACCCAAAATGAGTGCTAGAGGTCATGAGAGACCATGGAGTCTAGGCAATATTCTCCTATCTCCTATTTCCTTTATCTCCATAATGCAGACACTAGTCTCAGGGACCTGAAATGTTTTTGCTTGACTTTCTCTTGTAACATTTAGGTCAGAGGAAGAGTGAAATGAGTAGCCTTGAAATGAGAACACCTAAAATAGATAGTTTTCCTGTTATAGATTCCACTGTGTTTTCCTGGAAAAGGAGTAAGCACTTAAGCTGCAGACAAGACAATGCAATATCATACTATTCACATCATATTTAATAATGCTCTAGTACCATTCAATATAAATAAATAACCATTAAAAAGTAGTTTCTCGACAGTCTCTTCATCAATAGTATTTTCTGCAACAGGAAAGGTTAGTAATATTCATTGGTTGATGAGCTGGATGAATCTCAGAGAACATGAATATCAGGTACTAATATGCTAGTAAAAACCAGGCACTGGGATGCCTTCTCTTGTTTAAATACTTCAGGCTTGATCTGCGGCTTCCCTCCTTACTGCATTCACTTCCCCTGAAGCCTGTTACCCTGAAGGCTGCTTCTGTCCTGGGCTCTTCCACCCTGCTCTGCTGGTGAACAACCATCTTAACTTGTGGTGCCTGTTACTTAACCACCCTTAGCTGATATGCCTTCCCCAGCAGCAGTCCTTGCTGTCCTCAGGCTGCTCTACAGGGAAAAGAGTATTTGTGCTGAACAGGTCCATCTGTCTGCTAGCGTGGAATGTCAGCTGTGTACATTCATGCTGTCTATACAAGGTCTCAGTTCTGCACAATATAGTGACTGACAGAACTTCTTGATTCTCAGAAGGTCTGCTCCACAGAGCCCGGCTGGGAAAGAAAGGAGATGGTGCAATAGGGCTGATCTTTAGAGCTGACTGACCAAGATTGAACTGACAGTGTAGTACAGACAGAAGGAGTAATTTTGCTTTCTTGTAAGGATGTAGAAAGAACAACTCTCTAAAAACATATGTGTGGTGGGATCTGTTGCAATGGGAATAGATCCAAACTCTCACTGGCAGTGCCTAAACCCTATAGAGGACCTATGTGAGATTAAAGGCCAGAGAATTAATCATCACATCTCCTCCTGTTCATACAGGCAGAAATCTTGCCCATCTCAGAGGAGAAAATGGAGGATCATAAATCAACTCCTTTATTCCTTTGCTCTTGTTCATTCATTGAAACCACAAAGAAGGGGACTTAATTTTGGGTTAATGCTGGGTAGAAGCACTGAGCCCACCTGCCTGCTGGCAGGATGGTTTGGCAAATCCCACTGGAGTACAAGCCCTGCTACATTTGCAGAGGGCAGGATGGAAAGTTCTGACAAATACAGAGTGAAAAGCATTCTGTGGTTGCAGGACTTCCTTTATGCTATCTGGTGCCAGTAAGCTCTGCAAGGATGCTTCTACAGTCCAGAGAATACAGTGCTTTCTCAGCTCATTCAGTATTTTCTCCATATTGAGACAGCTGGCAGGGTGGCCTTCTGCTGCTGGTGTGTTCATCCATACAGAACCTGGCCTTAGCCTCACTAAATGCAGTCTCCATTTCTCTAGTTGTTGCCTATTCTTTGATTTTTCCCATCTCTCTCTCTCTGAAAGGAGGCATTTCATCCCCTTTGCCCCTCCCATACTGTGGCCCCCTCCTATAGCAGGATGTATTGGCTGCTCCTTCTCCATTGTGGGAATATGGACCAACTCCCTCTCTCAGATACCCTTCAAAGAGCCCCCTCCATGGAGGCTTCCTGAGATCCCATGGGGACTGTCTACTGAGTGAGGCAGTCCTTTGCTCATGTTTTTACCCCACTGTGATTGCTTGGGAGCCGGAAACTTAGTGCCACCCATGTTTGTTACATAAAAGAACTGTAATTTCCTTCACTGTATTGCCCCCCTTGCTGTGTTGCTGATTATTTCGCCAGTTTAAGATACCATTGTAAAGAAACCCCAGGGAGCAAAGAACATATGACCTTCATCGGTGAACACCAAGCTCTACTGTTCTGAGGCAAGAGGGAAAATATTCTTTCTCCAGGAATATGTCATATGACCTAAGCTAAAAACCAAAATTAAACAAGGAATAGGGAGAGAAGAATTCTAGTATGAATAAATAAACAAATAAATAAGTTTCCTGCTAGCCCTGAATTTCTTGGACAAGGGATGATTCAGTTGCTTATAACTTTCTCCCAGCTGTAAAATCCTTGATGTGTTTTGAATGCCTTGAGCCTTGTTTCTCCTGGCCTGACTGAAGAAGGTTTTAAAGATCTGCTCAGAGGGGTTTCTGGGTCATTCAAGGAATCTTCCTGGAGAAGTTACAGTGACACCACTCCCCACGCATACATATGGTACCAGCACTTGTGCTTTTAATCCAGTTCATCCTTCCTTCAGTCTTCATTTGCACCTCCTGTTTTGTAGGCTGCCTCCCACCTGACTGTCTTCCTGTTTTATTGAGGGAAAGGGAAATCCTTCCACATGACACTGACTCCTCTCTCTTCACAGCACCACACACTCCTTTCAAAGTTCAGCTGGAATACCTTGCCACATTTGTTATTTCAGTTGTCATGTACGTGCTCAAGATAGGTCTCCCAATGATGTCTCCACATTCCTTCATGTTCTCACAGTAGATGACTGCAGGCTGAGGGTTCCTCTTCTCTGAGCACTTCTCACCCACCTCCCTCTCAGAGAGTTGTCTTCCTCTCTGGAGATCTAGGAAGCAAGTCCATGCACATGATTTGAGGCTCCTGAAGCACCTGATGATGCTGCAGCAGGCTTCCAGGCCTTGAACACATTCAAGTCCACCCATCTTTGCCCTTACTTTCTGCTCTTTTGTCTCTTCAAGACACAGAGGCATGGCTTCTGAGGTACAGTACCTGCCACGTCTCCCAGAGCAGGAGAGGAACTTCATCCAGAGGGGTCTGTGCCTGGGGATCTCAGATGGCGTTTTCCAAAACAATCTTAAGTGGGGACGGTAGAAGATCTGAGATATGGGATAGGCACTAGATTCCTTCTGAACTCCCAAACCCCAAATAAGGTTCGTCAGCATGGCTTCCTCTCCAGTACTGAAGACTGATCTGTGTACATATCGGAATGCATCCCTCCGAGGGAGAGACTCTCATGCCAGCTTTGCTTTAAAGCTGTTTTGAGAGCACACCAGCCTCAGGCCAACAAGTCCATGTTTGTGCTTTAGTGACAACTCCTGTCCTTGAGCTACTGCTGTTCACAGTTGCTGTACTGAAGCTCAGGTTTCACTTTATGCCAGGAGAGACCTTTGGAGGCACCTGCACCCATCCTGGATTTCAGCCTGTGCTGGCACAGTGGAGAATGAAGACCACATCTAGTAAGTTTTAACAAATGGTTAAAAGTACAGGGCCCAGTGGGGAAGGGAAGCACTCGTCTCCTAGGTGGGGAGGATCTCAGGGCACCACCTCAGCTCTGTCCCTCTTTATTACCAAGGGAGCTGTTTGGTGTGGTGACATTTGGGGGTGTTTATCGTCCTCCAACAGTGGAGCAGAGCGCTGGGCAGGACAGGCAGGGTGCACAGTTACTATGGTTGCTGATGAACTTCAGAAACAATCACAGCACTCTGCCTCTGTCAAAACAAACACAAGGTGAGGTAAGAAGGTGTAAATACAACATCCAGTGTAACAGGACTATCCCCCTGGCTCAGGCAAACACCTTGCAGCTATCAGTGAACATGTTCCTCAACAACACTGTGCATGGCTTTGAGCTAGGATATAGCTGAAGAGCTGCTTGTTCTAGCTGCACTAGAGTCTTAGCTGGGAAATTTTATTTACGAATTAGAGAAAGTTTCTGACAGATTTTTTTTTGTCTGCACTTAAAGTAATTATTTTAACTTTTTTGCTAATTTTTTAAAAGAGTAGGAGAGTGAGATCTGAGGATTTCTATACATCCTGTCTGGAAGGTGTTGAAATGCAGATGAACCATCTCTTTTTCTAAATTTCACAATAGCGGGAGTCCTATGCTAACCTAAGCACACTCTTTTTTGGAGGCCTGTAAATAGAAGTTAGCAATAAGAATAGGTAGTTTTTATAACACTGGCCTTCTGTGATAGCTTTCAGGACTTTAACAAAGAAAAATATGAGATTAAATTAATCTCCATCTCCTGTTCTCAGAAGGCAAAGCCCGTGTTTCAGGGATGTTTCAATATAGTCATATATATGCTGTGATAGCTTTTGGCTGCTCTGTGGCAAGCAGCCATGCAAGCAGTCCAATTCGAGATTAGGAGTACCAAATCCCACACCAAGCAATGTCTGCCTGACTCACATCTGCAGGATTTAAAGGGAAGGAGGGCTCTGGGAGGTCTTGGACTTAACTGGCTTGATCTGATTCTCAAGGAGGACTAATTGGCAGGAGGAAATATTCTTCCTATTGTGTCTAAGAACAGAAGATCCTCAGGGGAGCAATTTTGCCTCTTTTTTTCTCAGCACTGGCTTATTTAGATCATGTCTATCAAGGTTCTGAAGCTCAGCAGCCTTGACAGTAAGGACCTCCAATACACCGTAGCCTTCAGCAGAGATCTCAATTTAAATTTTAAGAGATGCAATCTAACGATTTTGCTTAATTGCCCTTGATTGTCAAGCAATTTACTTTGCATGTGTCTCCTGGAGTAGATGCCACCTGCTAACTTGATGTGTCAGAGCAGCCGCCCCACATGACAGACAGTGGTTCAGAAGGGATTGTGGTCAAACTGACTGCTAATGCAAATGCAAAGATCCTTAAAAATCAGCAAGGCTGATCCAGCCAACAATCTGCTTGAAAACATTGGAGAGGATAGCTTGGATAAAGGTGCAAGTCCTGCTGAGTGAATCAGTGGCAGTGTCTTATCTTTTAGATTGGTTGCTTTCCTTTCCCACAACGAATGACTCATGGGGAGCCATTCTCATGAGACTCCATAGCTGGTGCATTGCATTTCTTATGGAGGATGACTGATTGTTAGGCCAAGGAGAGAGGTGAGGACAAAAGTGCCCATCTATAAATTGAACATTTGTGAAAACATCATGTCCGCACTGTGCATCTCCAATGGAGCAGTCAGCCTCTCCTCTGGCAAGTAGGCAAGGATAGTCTAATCTGAGTTTTTATAGGCCTGTTCATCCTGTACAAAGCAAGTGATTTCTCCAGAGCAGTTAACTGGACTGTGAGTCCTTACGAGGTGAGTTTGGGCAATCATTGCTTTAGGTAACTGCAGACTCGGCATGGGTGAGTGTGTAAAATGATTCTGTTGCTGCTAGTGGATCTCACAAAAGCACTGAAAAGAGGAGCTGCCGGCTAAGCACAGGTATCTTGCATCATTTATGGTCTCTAGGATATCTGTAATATTAATAACAAGCTGTCAGAAATGGTACAGCGTTTGTGCCCTGTAGGGGGGACAGGTAGGCTACACCAGGGTCCCTATGGTGGCACCAGGTGTCTATGTTTAGATAACTGCAGTCCCTTCTATCTGCTGCTGGGTGTGCAGGCACTGGGATTGCTTTGCACTATTTGTGTGGCTGTCACTCAGAGATCATGAGGTGCTGTGGCGTGAGTGCAGCTACTAGCGATGCACAGAGGAGATCAGTGCAGGAATTGAAATACTCATGACTGCCTGTATAAAACCTGACAGCTTTATTTCTACTGGTAGAGCTGAGCTGAGGTGTATATTGGGATCAAAACTAAAAGCACTCCTGGAATATCTTCCAAAGTAGGACTAAATCATTCAGCATCCTCTGTCCTGATATCCTGACAGATATGAGTCATTTCAGAAAGAGCTGGGTACTCTGAAATTGGGATACTTTTATTCTTTTGGGACTTTTGAGACAGGAATCTGCCATTGAGATCAGAGGGCATGGCATCTGAATGCTTCTTCATCATCATTCTCTTTCTAAGAACATATCAGTGATCTCTGATACATTCCTGCCTCACCTGTGGTGGTTGCCATAATCCCCCATCCTGCTACTGAACCTGGTTCTTTGAACTGCAAAGGCACTTCCTAGTACATTCACTATCTCTCCTCAGAGCAGATGTACTCCTAGCTCTGGTAGCATTGGTACCAAGCACCTCAAACTGAGAGAGTCTGTGTAGGCTGTGCTGTGCTGGTTCCTGTTCTGAGATGCTCTAAGCATTCCATCAGCCTTTCCCTGCTGCACCCACACCACAGCTGTTCATGCAGGATAAAAACTGAAGGGGGATGCATGAAGCACTGCACAGATGGCAGGGCTGTCGGGACAAAAGATTGCCTGGAGAAGTGTGATCTCATAGGACAACTCCCACACTGAAGGGAGTTTGGAGCTGGATGAAAAAGTCCAGGGACAAGGAATTTGGCTTGTCATTAATACCTGAGTGAAACCGGGGGATTCTGCTGTAACTTTTCTCTCTGTCAGGCAAGACTCCCATATGGTCTGCAAGGAGGCTTGAATGCGCAAGAAATACAGAGCATACGTGGATAAAGATGATAATCTACTTCTTGTCCAAAAGGTGGCACGGTGAATTACTGGAGCAGTCACATATGCAGTTTTTCAGGAAATAATAGCAGAAATAAGGAAACAGATACAGATTATTTGCCTTGCTAAAAACAGTAAAGACAAAGATACTCACACCCTGGAGCTGGGTCTCTGCTTACACCTCTACTCTGTGGTCTGTAAACCCACGCTTGCCTTCATTAACCAGAGTGGGCCTCTCAGTTCTTGTGTGCCAGACCAACACCTAGAGGGAAGCACAAAGAGTTCAGGCATTCTGAGTAGCATGGAAACAATGAGAGTGCTGCACCCATTGGGTGGCATCCTCAGAGAAGTGAAGCTCACAGCTGTTTGAAGCATGTGATTCAAAGGGGTTGATCCTGGGAGACACTTCACAGGCACATGAAACGTGACGAGGAGGGATCATTCTAGAGCAAAATTTCAGACTCAACCCTCTGTCAATCCGCCTGGATTTTGGAGAAGCAATCTGGGCACAAATTGTACATCTGAGATTCTTTATTAACACAGAATGCCTAGCACTGCTCCTCAGCTCTCTCTGAGCTTCACATCTGTGAAGAATTTAGCAGGCTTTGTCCATCTGTCTGTCCCAGCATCATTTGGCATTGACACGTGCCAGCACTGAAAGGTGGAAGAGTGTGGCAGGAGGTTGTAAAAGCAGCCAACACCCAGCAAGAAGACTATATCTTTGAGATTTCTTGTCCTACTCACCTTTGTGCAGTTAGCTGCTTTGGGCTCCAGGCCGTCCATAGTCACTAAATCCTTCAGCAGACTGGTTTCCTGGTAGCCTCCTTTAACTCCCTCCAGCTTGAAACTGGCATGAGGCTTCTCCAAAATCAACTTGATGCTGATAGCAAATCCGGCCATGTCAATAGCAAATGGACGATTAGGGTCAAAGACGGTTTTCCAGCCCACCACCTTCCCTGCTGGGTTCACTTTTGGGGATTCATATCGCAGCCCCCCGACAAAAGCCACTGGCCAGACTGAGACCCGCCTTGTGTAGCGCATCTGTGTACCAGAAAGAGAGTGCTGTGAGAATTCAACCCCACCATGTTTGTCCCAACCCATTAGTGCACCATGCTCTGCTTTCATTGGCACCTCTCTTCTCCCATTGACTTCCTACGCAATCACAATTGCTCTCAGCAGCACAAGCTCTAGTTCACCTGTGCTGCTGCTTGAAGAGCTACAGCTTCCACTGCCACAAGGCAAATTCTCAGCACATTATTCGCTGAACAACACACTCATTGCTTTTCTAGGCCTACATTCAGCCCCTCAGAAGAATGAAAACCTCTGGTTTTCTCATCCCATTTGAACTTTTACCTTTTATGGTAGAATTTTATCAATTTCTAAATGCCAATTACTACTTTTACCAGGCCTCTAGCTCTGTATTATCAACTCCACTCACTCCAGCTTCACACTCATGCAAGTAATCACTCTGACTGATTCATCTTTGTCCTCATCTATTCCAGTTTCTCTCCCCACCTTCTGCCTTGTTTTTCCATCCATTGCTACTACCTAGAAGTGTGGGGGTTTATTGAAATTTTCAGAAAGGACCTGGAAGGAAGTACGAAAGGATGAGCTTAACAGAGACCTAACAACTCTGAAAACTGGAAATAACGTTCTGATGCATAATTCTGCTCTTCAAGAGGCTTAGTACAGTTTGGCTTATATTGGTGACAAGAGAGTTTACTGGATTTTTTACTGCAAGTTTACAATAGGCTTGGCATCTCACAAAAGCCAGGTCTCCAGCAGAAGTCTGGGCAAGCTTCGGTGATCCCAGAGGCACAGCCCTGTTGTGGTGGCTGGAACCTAGAGAACTGAAGGGCAGCCAAGGAGTAAAGATGGATAGAAAGTCAGACAACTTTTCTATCATCCCCTACCCATCACACCCCTACAACAGTGCAAATTTACACCTTGCCAGAAGTTTGTCTTTGATGCTTATTTAAATTAGATCAGCTCTCCCTGAGGAGAGGCATAAATTCTGCAGCCTCTAGAATGGCAAATGTGTTCTTTGCCCTTTCAGCTTACATCTGCTTTATACCCAAGTGCCACTCCATGCAGAGTGGGCGAGGTCTTTGCAAGTGCAACTGGGCTTAGGAGGCTCTTCAACTCTATCCTGCTTTTCTGTCCCATATAATTTTATGTCTCTTACCTCCTCAAAGAGCTCCAGGCTGTAGGTGTTATCATCATCAGCAAAATAGACTACGCCTTCTGGTGGTGCGGTGTTGCTGAAGCTGTCCCTCAGCCAGTGCAGCCCCAGGTTCCTCTGCAGTGTACCCCTTGGGGTGTGGGATGGGATCCAGGACAGACCCAGCTTCAGGCTCTTGGGTGTTTCCACGTTGAGGTGGGTGAAGTTGAGCCCAGCCTTCTCCAGCAGGTTGGATACAAGGTTGGTCCTCCGTGGAGAGTCTTCCACCACCACCCAGTGCAGGTTCTGAACATGGAGGAAGGTGTTGGCCAGACGGGTCAGCTCAGCTTTTTGCACTGGCCGGGTGTAGGTAGGGGTGATAACAAAGATGGTTGGCAGGGTGTCTGACCATGGGGGAGGCCTGGAGTACACATAATTCTGGATGATTTTAGGCATTGCCCCTATGCTTTGCTGCTGCCGAGTGCATGATGGGAAGCCTACTTCTCTCTTTGTAGATGTACCATTAAGGAGAACTTTAGAGGTCACATTCTCATCTGTCTCTTCTGGGACAAAACAAAGGAAGAAAGAGGAAAGAAAGGAAGATGTCAGAGGACTAATAAGTAGCAGGCTACCTCCTGTCCAGGGAGGCACACATCTATCTGGAGTTAGTGATGCATCCTCTGTCCAAAGTCAGCCTAAGGTGCATGTTTAACATGCTCTTAAGATCAGTTTGTCTTCCTGCTGTCAGCAAACCCCAAAGGGGCCTTCAGGCAAGTCTGTTTTTGTTTAACCCTTCCCATGAGAGAGCATCCCTGCTGTGGGTTTGCAACAGAAGTCATCACAGCCACTAGCACATTGACAGCAGAGCTTTTGCACTTACTTCTCAGCAGGCTGAGGTAGTCAGTGGTTGGGTACTGGTGCCACAAGGTTAGGAGAAGAGCCCATGGTAAGGCAATCAGGAGTGTGGTAAGAAGGTTACGTCTCCTCAGCATGCTGCAGGGAGCTTCCAATGTCCAGGCATCTCTCTACCTATCAGAAAATGAAAAAGAGTAAGGCCTCCAAAATACCAGTCACCAAAAATGCAGGGAGGCATGACAAATGCTTGGCTCTGATCCAGCGAAGTGCTAAGTTTACAAGGAGTTCCATTAACGTTTCAGGTCCAAACCATTATCCAATTTAGCCAGCCCTGGTGTTATTGAATAGCTTTTAGCTATTTCTGGTGCTCTAAAGAACCTCTCATTATCCCATGATGAAACCACTGTCCTTGAGTTAGGGTGGTTCATGTTGCTGATTCTGAAGCTGGAGAGGACTGCTACGTGTCCCCCCTCTTCGAGACTTGTGTTCCTTCCTGAGCTTTGTGGTGACCATTTAATTTCCTTCTTTTGTACAACTTTTTAGAACTGTGTGCAAGATTTGTGTGCCTGAATATGCAATTGGATAACGTAGTCAGATGTCAGGCATCCTCTAGATAGCCAGCACCTCTGAACACTTCTGCAGTGTTAATTCACACTCCTTAAGCAGATGCATTGAGGCAATCAGGCATGCATGCTATCACCTACTAAGTGTTCCACGAAATCCCTGCCTTGGTCATTCCACAGTGCTGGTGATGCCTGCTGAATGCTTAATTATCCCACATCCCTTTCTACTTGTGGTTTGCACTGTTTGGCCATTGCACCATTTAGTTGAAATCACAGACTTTTGAGTACACACCAGGCCCTGCCAGGTCCCCTTGCACTCCTAGGCTGAAGGCATTTTGAGGGAAGAGATTGATGGCATCATGCCGATACAAAAGATTGAAAGGAGGTTCAAATTGGTTAGCTCTAAATTCCTGCTCTGCTAGGGATTTTTAATTATACTGAAGGCCAGTCAGCTAAAATCAAGGTCCTATAAGGGACACAGGCACATTTTGTTCAAAAGCAACTCCTTGCCCAGAATTTGGGTCCTGCAGCTCCTCATCTGTCCAGAGGGGAAGGATTGCATTGCTTCAGTCTTAGAGAGTTGTGTGAGAAGAAAATGACAGCTGGTCTGAAAGGGGTCTGCAGTGACAGCAGCCACAGGGTACTCCTGAAAAATATTAGGAGATGCTATTCTAAATTCATCCTCTGGGACCTCTTAGAATCTGTCTTTAATTGTTTCTCTGATATTTTGCCTTGGTGTCCTGAAAAAAAACAAGGATTATGCAATTTCAGGACTCGTCAGTACCCTACCACCGTTAACTGTTAATCCCATTTCAGCCACATCAGACAGAAGACTAGCGTGCCTCAGCAAGTCCTCTGGTGGGCAAGTGGATGTTCATAAGGAAATTACTCCAACACAAGCTCATTCCTTGTTAGAAACCAATGGTATCAATGCTGGAGCAATCCCTTAGGGAAATATATTCCCACTGACTGCTACCTAAGCCAACCATTAATGGTGTTAATATCTAATGTTTCTTACCTCCTCACTCAGGAAACACCGTGGTGCCCATTTAATTACTTTCAAGCTACAAAAAACTGATGTAGAAGTGGGCCAAGGAAGCTGTGTGGCCAGGGGCACACAGGAGTGTTTTAATGATGTGAGCAGGAGCCTTGTGTAGCAAACACGCTGGCTCTGCTTAACTTCATTGCTTTTTGATGACTGGGTCTGGGGCAGGTACAAAAGTGTCCTTCAAGCTTTAGTGCCAAAGGCATAGGTATTTGGTAAGCTACAGATCCAGGCTGGACACAGGGCAGGATGGTGTTACCCGCACCAGGGACTGCTTTCCCTGCAGGCAATCTTTTCTCTTACCAGCATAACAGCGCAGAGTAAAGCTTCCCATCATTCATGACTGTGACAACAGACAGAGCCACAAAAGAAATCCAAGGATTGCTATTAACAACTACAGATACCTTGGCCCACTGAAGCCCTGGCTCACGTTCGTTACAGCTCCTTGCTTCCTCTAGTATGCTTGCAATTACGAATGTCTTTGCACCAGAGTCAGGCAGCCAGTGCTTCTTCCCTTTAATGAAAGGCCTTAATTATACAGACACAGTTTCTATGCAACATATCATTGCTACTGCTGCAAACTCAGGTTGCTGCTGGAGGGAAAGAAAGGAGAAGGCAGCCCTGGCAGCCATGTTACCAATAGAGCACAGAGGAGAAGGGATCAGAGTTAGAAAAAATTTTAATTAATTTCCTTTCTAGTTCTTTCTCCTCCTCCCTCTTCCAGCTCTGTTCATGCTTCCCAAACACTGCAAACAAGTGGAGATGCTGTCTGTGTGTGCAGCTCCCCTGGTGCTCTGTGCTCATTTATTTCTGCATGCACCTTCTCTCTATTGCTTTTCCAAAGCAAGCAAGGCTGAAGAAATTAAACCCTGCATAAAGCCCCAGGTAACTTGTGTATGTCACAGAGGAGCTGACTTCAACCCATTTAAAAAAAATCTCTATTGCAATACTTTATTTTCTCTTTAAAATGTTACCTTGTCGCTCCCACTGTCTCCCCCTGCGTCCATCATGCATGCTCATCTCTGTTGCTTTATAGCTTTCACCTGCCTTTTCTCAGTCCTTCAGAGTCTCTTTTCTTCTCTGTTTCCAGAACTACAAGAATCCCCTGGCTTACAAATAATTTTAGCCTTTGTCTTCTGTCCTTACACACACAAAGGCCCTTTGCATTCTCTTAATGTCCACCCCTCATGGAATATTTCCCACAAAGTGGTCCATTAAAGCATCAGTCCATCCTTTTGAAAACACAGCATCAAAATCTAGTCACATATCGATGCTTCTGGGTAGCCTGCTGATGGCCCCAATGGAGCTTACAGAGGCTTACTGCACATATTTTTACCTAATTTTTATAATTAAAACCAAAGTCTCCTAAGCGGCTTGGATTAATTGCAAACTTGCAATTAATATACCTGTACTCTTGGCACAACCAGCTACCTTCCTTCTGCCTTTAACCCCTCTCAGAGTAGATCCTATTAAATGAGATTTAAGATCAGAAGAAATTTTTGTGATCATCTAAACCCATGTCCTGCGTTCATCTGGTAGTTCATGGGTTTAAGCTGTAGAGGGCAGGGACCATCTCTTAATGTGCTTATACAGTCTGGCACTGATCCCAACGGGAGCCTTTGGATGTGACTGCAATACAAATATTATTGATTGGACTCTCTTGCTGGCTCTTCTCCTCCCTTGCTATTTCTCTGTCTGTTCGCCATTCTCTTTCCTTTTCTTTTTTTCCCTTAGTGCCTCCTGCAGCCCTTGTTTGTGTTACACACCCTTAACAACATTAGCTGAATGTTTGATGGATGTCTTCAATATGCTGCCTGTAGCCTTCTTGCCTGTTTTCCAATTACACATCTCTCTTCTTAATTTCATCCATCAATCCTCTGTACTCCATTAAAAAATAAACTAACACACAGAGCACAAAGCTGAGTACGATAGGGACAAAATGTTTTTCATACTACTCTGGCTTCACGCTGCTTTTATCAGACTTCTCAGCTCCTGGGATGTGACACTATTCAGTCTCCATTTAAACTCTTGTGCTGACGCAGGGGGCATGATTCTGAAAGGACTCAGGAGAAGACAGCGAGAGAAGCATACAGGGGGAAAACCTGGATTCCCCAGAATAACGCTGAAGAGAAAAAAGATCTATCTGGCTGAGGTTCAGACCATTGCATGTGACCAATCCCTTTACCTATTGTTGACTAATTAACAACAGAGTAGAATTTGTTACAGGCAGGACAACCCAGATATTGAGGGAGGGATAAGGACTCCAAGGCTGCAAAATGACCCAGGGAGTGACTTTCTCCTGAGCTGCAGTGTTTGAAAGGACATGCTGGGTGAATGGGAGAATGGTGAAAGTTAGGGAGAGATGCAGCTGACTGGGCTGACACATTTCAGTACCTCTGATTTTCCAACAGCCCTGTTGAGGAGCTGCTCAATTTACATCATTTTTGGTAACTCAGAAATGATTAGGATCACACGGGCTTTGGTCGTTCTCTGAGGTTTTGTTTCTGCCCTCTGTCTGCCTGATCCAGAATGAGAACACCACCTTTCAAAAAGCGTGCCCTGCGAGGAAGATGATTTTCCAGCCTCTGGTTCAAGGCAGCTGGCCTGTCTGAGCCAAGCTTACAAGACTCTGAATGCTGGACCAACCCCAGCCCCAGGACTGTATGGCTCTAGTCAGAGACACAGGCTCTAAAGACCCTTACCTTCCCAGAGGGACAAATTTCACAGTTCAGACTGTCCCTTGGGAACATCCCACCATCCAGCGTAATGATTTTCTGGGCAAGCACCCAAAACAAACTACTCTCAGGTAACGGAGCCAAAAGTTTCAAGAAACACTCCCTAATATTGGTTTGAGCCATGTTTGCAAACCTAGTGTTCTGTGTGTACCCTGGGAGGAGACTGGTGTGGAAAGGGGAGGAGACAGGGATGTGAGGAGCAGGCCCGGAGCAGACCTGCAGGTAGCTGCAGATGACTCTTAATTTCACGCACCAAAGCTGTCAGCAGGGTTTTTGGTTTGTTTTGCCTGCATTTTGCTGCCTCTCTCCACCAGCCATTAGCCACCTTGAGGAAGTCTATGCAGATTTCACGAGTTCCCTAACTCCTGTATGGGAGATATGATACTGAAGGCAGAGCAGGGAGCTTTCAATTATTGATGAGAGCGACCTCTCTTTAAACAAGGAATGCATAATTCATGACCAAGCCGATATTTGTGATGAGCAGCACCAGCTGAACCTCTGCCTTGCTGAAATGCACAGGAAGCCACTGTCCCCTCTCCCCCCATTCCCTTGGGCCCATCAGAGCCTTCAGCCAAAACTACAATAGTGCTAAAAATTGAGATAGGCCGAGATGCTGCAGTGCCTCCCCTCACCAGGCAGCTGCCTTCCTGTTTGAGATGTGCACAATAAAGTGGGAGGATGGATTCAAGGAATCACAGAAGTGGGTGGAATGAGTTATTGCTCTGGGATAAGCATGGGTAATTACTGTGCAAACACAGCCAAAACAGGGCATTTCTCAGTATTGAGACTTCTCCGACCCCCAGATAGGTCTTCAGGAATGGCATCATGGCATTGTTGTAGGACAGAAAGGATAGGCTAGATCTAAAGGACAGTGCCTGA